CTTCAACTCCCAGAATTCCCCAGCCCACTCATCTTAAAGTGGCCAAGTTTGGACAACACTGGCTTAGACTTTCTGTCAACAGGACACACCCATAAGGAGCAAACTAAAAGAGGCTGCCTGAGCCTGGATCACCACATGGTGACATTGCCAGTCCCCCTCCCAAACTCTGCTCCTATCCAACTGAGACAAATTGGAAGCCCTCACTCGGCAGTAGCACCGGTGGATCTGAAGGAGCCCTGGAATTTGCTCAAATAGGCCACACAATGGCACTGAGTCTGATGGAGACTTCTGAGCCCTATCTACCTCTCGGCTGTCTTTTGTTAGGGACAGCATATCTGGGCTGTAAATCCCTGCATGGCCACTAGGTAGCAGCAATGAGATGCAGACCATGTCTCTTCACTACCATCTGTGGCTGATCAGGTATCTGCAGCCCTGACATGAAATCCCTGATTTTGTACTCCACAGGCAGACATTTTTACAGCCTCACTTACATTCCACTTGTCTGTGGGTAGGAATGCTTTGGAAAGGGAAAAGGACCCCTTGTATCTTCTCCAAGCTATCCTTATTACTGAGCAATCAAATCCTTAGATTCAGGATTGGCTACCAGATCAAGACCTGGTGCTTTATTGAACAGCTGGGGGGCAGGTGGGGATGGGAGAGCCAGCAGCTCCCAGATAGAATTTGCCTCCTTCATTAATTTTTCTCACCTCTTTTTAAACCACTATCCCATTTTGGGGCAGTGAATTACGCAAAAGCATTCCAAAGCACCAAGAAGGAGCTTCGGTCCTCAGTTTAATTTGCCTGAAACCCTCCAGCATTTACATTTTGAGGAGTGGGGACAGGGGGAGGTACAAATCCTTGCCCATTCCACCCCTCCTGCACCCAACTGAAGTGCCCACATTATTCTTAGCTTTGACATCCACCCCTCGCTTGATCAGCTCATTCATGTACACCGTGTCGTTTCGTTTGGCTGCATCATGGAACATTTTTTCTGAAATAAGCACTGGAGAGAAGAAAAAGATATGTTAAAGATGGTAAAAATAATAAAAAAATAAATTCTAGCAGAAGCTGCATGCAGAGCAGAGGGTCAGCACAAATAGCTTTCAATCTTAATTCAGAATGGAGTGTGCTGGACGCGACTGGCAAACTGTATGCCTTTTACAGTTTCTCTGGAGGATTGTCAAACCTCCAGACAGGCGGTCTACTTGGTGGGCAGTGATGTGGAAGTCTTCTCATTGAGTATGTTGTCCCATGTCAAGTCTCCAACACTTGGACATTTATTCTTTTAGAAAGATGACTTTGTTCATGCGACCACAGGGGCTCTGTGATGTCTGGAACTTCGAGGACTGGTCATAAGTCCCTTCATTCAGAGCTGTTGTAACTTCAAACAGTCGCTGAATGAATGGTCATTAAGTGAGGACTATCTGTACAGCAGTGTTTGTCAGCTCAGCAACTTTAAGGTGTATGGGCTTCAACTCCAATTCCCCAGCCAGCTATATTGTATACCGTATACTGTATATCGTATATCTATGTCAGTGTTGATATAGAGGATGCTAGGAAGTTCAGTTGTAATGGCAGCCTGGGAAGGGTCTGACTCAGGGAATAATTCCCTCTAGCATCGTCCATTATCGGCATCCCAAGAGGGCACCCTCCATAGAGCTTAAAAGCAGGGGTGGTACCTACCAGGGGAGACCATGCAGGAAATGCCCGAGCTTCCAATTGTCTAGAGGTTTGTAAGCCAATTAGTTCCAGTTCGGTTCCACAGCAGGCTTGATTTGGTACAGCCTATGCTGGGTTTGCACTGTGTGTAAAACTAAGCTCAAATGGGGTTAGGCACTCGGATGAAAGACCACCAGAAAACCCCAGGGCCGTAGGCTGGACTGAAAAGTTGGGAAACATCCACGAAGACGGCCGTGGCAAGCCACGCTGGTACTGAGGCCAAGAAAATGGAATAGATGCAACCCCCAGGATTTCGGCTCAACTTGAAGGTATGTTTAGTTTGCTGCTTCGTGTGCTGTAGGGACTGGACCATTCCATGAAGCAATAATACCGTTTATCTGCTTGAGCGTTGCTGGTTAGGTGAGCCCAGGGATTGTGTTGTGACCATCGGCGCTGCATTGCCATTCTCTGTGCAAGCCCTACTCAGGGAAATTAAGTGCCATGAAAGCGCCTCTTTTATCTTCTCCCGGGCATTTTAAAGCTTTTCAGTCGTAATCATCATAATCCTTCTTACGTGCTGCCCTCGCTCCTCATTCCTCCCTTGGTAATTGGTTCCCTCCCGAAATGCTTTTGTGTTAGGATGTTTTTCCTAACATTCAATTAGGAACTGCCTTTCGGTAACTTAAATGTCTTCCTCTGAGTCCCATCCTGGGGAAGGATAGAGAACGGGACTTGGATGGTCTCTATGGGGGTCTTCAGCTGAGGAGGTAGACGTTTCTCAAGTAATAAAGGCGTGCGCAGAACTTCTTTTTTAGAAAGGGTTTTTAAAAATAATAATAATAATAATAATAATAATAATTATTATTATTATTATTATT